AGTCATGATCGTCTGCAGGGTCACAGTGGGCTCCAGAGAGAGTCTCAGTAGTTCATGGTACCGACCTTGCAGGTCCAATTACCTGTTGTCCAAGTCCCTGCCCCTACCCCTGCTTCTAGGAATTCAAGCATGCCCTTCACCTTGTGTGAGATTTCACCTCTGAGAGTTTTCAGAAAGTTCCCATCATCCACCAAGCTGTCAAGATGGCAGAGAGGACAAGATGGAGTTACTTAGTTCCAGCATCCATATTTCAAAAGGCAGTTGGGACTGGATAACTGGATGCATCAGGGCCTACAAAAGAAACAAAGCCCCAACTGGAGTAGAAATGCATTTACAGAAGTTAGGGAACCCAGAGAGAAGGGACTTCAAATTTAGAGTAGTCAGAAGACTCCACAAAATATATTCAGGATAAAAATATCAGGCCCAGTTTATAACAGACCCAGTTAGGTAATTAGTTCTTTGTTACTATTATCTCTTTCTCATTATATTTCTCCAAGTCAGAATTATCAAAATCTTATAGCTTGTAAAGATTGAACCCAGGGAAGGTGACTTCATTTTTCCATGCCTTCAATAGGCTCTGGCTTCAGCTTTGAAAGGACCTGACATTTCATTTTATGAATTTATTTCTTCTTCCAAAAGTTAACAGAAAAGTTCTAAGGCTGACTGAGTTTTCATTAAAATGGGGACAGTTATTCCTGGATGGAATTACAGAACAAAAGGGAGTTAAGTGCAATAGGACTAAAAGATTAAATGTTGTGATTAAATGTTTGTTTAATAGCAAGTTATCTTCTAGCTCCTAACCTTAGAGAGATATACAGACAGACAGACAGAGAGAAAGAGAATTATTATAACAGATATATCAAGAGAGTTAGTTATCTTAAGCATATTTCTTACTTTTTCATGTTAATATCAAGGAGTCTGTGTCCAAGTCTGGCTACCGAATACAGTTGTAGCTATAGTTGGGTAAAGAGAATGGTTATAAATTGGTTGCTGGAAATGAAAAGAGGAAATAAATTTGTTGACACAAAACATTGGAGCCCAGCAACAGATTTCCTTTAAGCAACTTCAATACTTGTCTTACCCTTCTTTAAATTTCACTTGTTCTGCTTTTTAAAAAAAATATAGATTCATTTTTAGCATCATATGATGTGAAAACTTTCCAAGAACGAAGACAAGGCCCATCAGCAGAAAGCCCACACTTTTCTATGAATTTCCTTCACTCAGCACACAAACGTGGCAATACTGAGCGATGCTGCCCAACAGACATTTAGCCTACTGTTAACCTACTGTAGTTTGGGTACTGTGCTTTGCGTAAGAGACAACTCTTTGAAGGAGATAAGGAGTGTCACTCAAATTATGCATCTTTAGTTCTCTCTGCAAAGGCAGCCATTGCAAACACGCACAATGAAAGAACTAAAGAAGTCAGAGTGCACAGGGGGGAAGCAGACCAAACCTCTGAAGGCCACAAAAAGCTACTCTGAGGAAGTAACATTCAAGCTTAGTCCTGAAGAGTAAGTCAGACTTAGCAAGGGGCCCTGCACAATCTTCCCTTGCCTGTATTTTCAACCTCATTAGAAACCACTTGTGCTTTTGGTTGTCATTGCCAGACACATGTCTTCTCTCACTTCCTCCAACTACCTACCTGCCTGTGTTATATTCCAAATCCTCTGACTCCCTCTCTACCTCCTTCCTCTATCATCTCTTTACAGAGCCTAGTCTCAGCCTATTCTTTTTTTCCTGCCGTTTATGTGTATCTAACATTTTAGACATATGTATAGTAGTTGCATATGTGGCTACTATTGTTACATTTATGATTTGGATTACTTGCTTCCTGATTATGGATTACTTGCTTCTTGATTATCCTCTGTGAACAGAAACCTCTGAGAGGGGAAGGAAGCTAGTTAGCCCATCATATTGCTTCATTATACACTGCAATGAACAATAATTGTCATATAGAAGTTGAATATACTATTTCAATGTCTGCTGAATAAATGAATAGATAGAAGATGCAGGTTAGAAGAGGTACGTTACAGCCTTGAAACAGAGAGCATCATACATTTGAAGAAACAAAACCAGAATGACTGTAACATAGAAAAGAGGAGAAAGTAGCTCAGTATGAAAGCCTTTGTTGGCAAGTATTATATTGTGAAAGACAAAGGTGTTCAGCTTTGGTAGCAAGTCAGTATGCAAACCATAATATGCAGATCCTGTTGATTTTTCTATAACACTAGGAACACAAGAAAATATCTCTTGGGGCTGGAAAGGTGGCTCAGTGGTAGAGTGCTTGCCTTGCATGCATGAGGTCCTGGGTTGATTCCTCAGCACCACATAAGAAAAAAGCCAGAAGTGGCGCTGTGGCTCAAGTGGTAGAGCACTAGCTTTGAGCTGAAGAGCTGAGGGACAGCTCCCAGGCCCAGAGTTCAGGTCCCACGACTGGTCCCCCCCCCAAAAAAAAAAGAAAACATTTCTTTATTAAAAAAGGATTCCCTTCCAACAAAAGATGTTATTAATCACAGAAAGTGTTACTTCTTTGGGCCAATGATGACTATTAAAAACTAAGCTGAGCTTGGTTTTTATATAAAGTGGATTTATTACCACTTCATATTTATTGACAGTAGCAGTTCTGCCTTGTTCACTCTTACATTCTCAGTGCTTGGTGTAGACTGGATAGTTAGCAAAAATGTCTCTGTTGAATGAACTAACAGATGCTTATATTACTGGAAGTCACTGTGAATGGGATGGCCCTGTAAACTCTTTATGGGGCTCTGTGAAGCATAGAATCTGTAGGGGCAAAGTGCCATATTGAACACCTGATTCACTATAGCACAAAGTATATCGTAAGTGTTATTGTATAACAAATCATCAAAATTTCCTGTTTTCTACAATAATTATAATAGACTGTATACCTTTTAAGGCAATGTACAATACTATTAAGGAATCCATGTGATCATTTTTAAAAAGAAAGACTTGCATGCATTGGACATTATTATGGGATAGATATCTTTAGTTATTATTAACTTGTTCAGTCTTGGTATGCTATTTCAGATAGAGTACCATGATTTTCCCTCAAGGGCTGAACCTTGAAGTACTGCTCAGGCATTGTCCTATAACTGGATGGACATGGCCACTTCCTGAGAGGGAGGGAAACAAGATGGTCCTAGGTTCAAGATCTCTATGTGGCCCATTATAAGTTTGGAAAGATTCATATTTGTATACCATTTCTTGGCTAGATGTAGGTGGTGAAAATGAAGCAGGTAATTCATATACTGTGTTTTATAGAAGAATGTGTTCTAGAAATTCTAGAATATTCATTGTGTTGTGACCTGAGGAATGATGTAGGTCTCCTTTGAATGAATCAGCATCAAGTATAATGGCAGGTCTAGATATTATTAAGCATTTTAAGTAATATATCATAACAATAGCTTAGAAAATAAATAATTATGACTGTATCACCTAATGTAGGTGTGTATATATCTTTATTTCATTATAAAATCAAATGCAAATGCCAGAGTCAACAATCACCTTACTTCTTTGTGTAGTTTTTTTAGTTTTGTTTCTTTGCCAGTCCTGGGGATTCAATTCAGGGCCTAGGCACTGTTCCTGAGCTGCTTTTATTTCTCAAGGCTAGCACTCCAGCAACTTGAAGCACAGTGCCACTTCCAGATTTTTCTGAGTAGTTTATTGGAGACAAGAATCTTACAACCTTTTGTGCGCAGGGTTGGCTTAAAATGGCAATCCTCAAATCTCAGCCTCCTGAGTAGCTAGGCATTATAGATATGAGCCACTGGTGATGGAATTGTCTGTATTATTTTATGCTGTTATTCCTTTACAGAAAAAGACTTGTTTCAAGAACACTTAGATGCTAGTCTCAGACATACTATACTACAACAGGAAATGAATGATCATATTTGTAAATTAACAATCATGAGCCCATCCCAGTGTTAAGTAGCAGTCTGCAATGGTGCTATGGTTTAAATACTACTTATGCTGGAGGTTAATCCCCATTGTGAGGTATAAGTGGAAGGAGACTACATGGGGCTGTGGTGTTCATGGGGCTGCTGGGTGTTGATATTCTTTGTGAATGAATGAATTCAGATCTGGTAAAGTCTTTAGACTACTCCTTTCCTGAATGAATCTTTCTGGCTTCATAGGATGAGTCAGATAGACCAGAAGATAACCTTCCTATTCACCCCCACATGCATGTTCTTTACCTCTTGCTTTGGGATGCTATACTATCTAAGGCTATTATCAGATCAAGAAGGCCATTTGCAGATATGGTTCTCAATTTTGGATAAGATTCATGAATCAAAATGAAAATTTTCTAATTTATTCAGCTTTAGGTATTTTGCTTTAGTAATAAAATTAACTCGTACAGTTACCATAAAAGAGATATAGCCCAGGATGAAGATTATATAACTCTTAAGTGAATAGAAAATCAACTTGCTCTAGCTAGATTAAAATGTTTTACTGTAACTGAAATAGAAAATTGTTCCTTTAAATATTTTTATTTACTTCTTAGGCCTTAGAATGAAATTTAAAAAATTTCTATGAAATATCATTACTAACATGGATGCATTAAAAATTTCCTACATGAAACTAGATAAATTGAAATATCTTTCTTTTGTTGTGAATGTGTATAACTGAAAAAAACCCAATGAGATGTACTCTTAAATTATAAACAATACAAAACTACTTTTCATTTCTTGTAATTTTAATTCATGGCTCTTGAAATACTTGGCAAATCAAAACAGAAAACTGTAGTTTTCTAATCATTACAGAATAAATTTGAACAAATAAATGTGCAATGAAACCATGCTATCAAAGTATATTTACCCTTTCCCTAAGTCATTGTGTTTCTAGTCATTCATTTACACAGTTAGGGAGCTCAACCCATCTGGTCCCCTTCTGTAGACTTTCACTTCCTAAGCTGTATACTGGTCATTTAAATCTTGGAACTGTATGCAAGAGAAGGCTAACAATGGTGATTGTTTATCTTTCAGGCTTAAAAGAAGATAGAGTGCCAGAGAAGACCTTTGAAGTGTGAAAATTTCTGAAGCTGAAACCAAAATGTCTTTTATAGATCCTTATCAACATATTATAGTAAGTCACTTACTGTTCATGCATTCTCTCTGGGAAAGGAGCAATGCATTTTTTGTGTCTATGTACTGCTGGTGTTACTAGTCAGGTAAAACTCTGACAACTCCTTGGGTTTGTTATTCTGCTTGCTGTAAGAGAATTTGATCACAAGATACAGAAAAGCCACACTTAAAACCAAAAAAAGAAAAGAAAAGCCACACTTTGCGAGGTCAGATCAGTAATCTTTATTAGAAAGCTGGCATTTGTGAGCAGACGTGTTCCCCCCAAACTTCTAGCCTCAAATACATGTAATACTGTTAGGAAATTGAGCCATGAAGGTAGTAAAGAAAGAGCAGAAAAACCATCTCAACAAACCAGATCGACTAATTCAGAGTAGAAGAGGGATGACATAGTGACCTGAGGAGAGTCAGGAGACATGAAGCATGGTGCAAGAATGGCTGAGGTGTTTGGGCCTAAGTAGGGTCATGGTCAAGGGCAGAGTCCCAGGGAGGTAAAGAGTTCAACAAGTCTCCGGAGTTCATGGTACAGGTCTGGCAGTCCAGTAACCTATTGTCCAAGTCCCTTGAATTTAGGCTTATCACCTGGAGTTGAGGGTGGGGTTTCATCTCTAAGAGTTTTTAGAAAGTCCCCATCACCCACCAAGGTGCCAAGACTAGACCCAGTATCCCTATTTCATACTCAAGCACTTACTGTGGTAAATTAGGCTATTGTACATAATAGAACTAAGTCATATCTTCTTTTTATCATTGTAAATTTCCAGAAGAAAAGGAATTCAATCAGAAAAAATTCCAAAACATCTATACGAACACTGAACTTTCATGCAACAATTAAAACAATTGTGACTAGGACTCAGCCGTCATGTGAATGTGTAGTTATACCCTTCACATTCACATAATTTTGAGAAAAGAAGATAAATGAGTATCTGAGTTTAGGGTGATGTTTTTTGCATGCATTTCCAAGGCAATTAATTGTGTAATCTTTTCCTAGTGAGAAACCTTTAAACAAACTCCTATGGTTGGTTGGCTTTTGAGTCAAGAGTTGAGTAATTCAAATTTTAGTAATTGAATGTAATTTTCCAAGCTTCATGGGAGATGCGCATTCTTTCTTTTGATAACAATAATAAAAAAATTTCCTTGCTGAATTTAACACGAGACTCAGGTTTATATAGACTAGAAATAGTTTTTATGAATCTTCTCAGTTTACTTTTTTTCATTTTCTTGTTACTAGTTTTCTTTTGCAAACTTTTCTTTTTGACTCTTAAACTGAGGTGTAGCAAGTATAGTGTGTAAATCTTACTTGTTAAACTTTATGAAGGTTTACATTTGCATTTATTTGTGAAATTCTCACTCAGACTAAAATATCCACCCTAAACATGGCATGGCGCTTCATGCGTTCAATCCCAGCTATTTAGGAAGTGGAGCAAATGGGACCAGCCTGAGCAAAGACAATTTGACCCTGTCTCAAAATAAATGGAAAGACTTAGAAAAATTATATTAAGTGAAGTAAGCCAGGCCCAAAGAAACATAGGTCCCACAGTTTCCCTTATTTGCAATATCTAGTATATGTCTCAGACAAGTAGAAAAGATCAAAAGCTACGTACATATGACCAGATAAGATGATATTAAGTGAAATGAACCCCAAGATAGAGACACAAGTTTTTTTTCTTTCTTGCTGTTGTTTCTAATGCATTTATAAGGTACCACGTGATTTTTTTTGTTTCTTTGTATGTTCCTCCCCCACGTTATAACCCGTTTTCACTGTATTTGATGTCTGTATAATTTGTGGGGGGGGGAAGGAAAAAACAAAAGGTTTAAATAGGGATACAGGTTGACCCATTGCAACAAGATGCTATGTTGAAAAATGAACTTTACAATTTAGGTGGGGGTATGGGGGGGTAGAGGTGGGGGGAGTGTAGTTGTGGAGGTGGAAGGGAAGGGATGGTAGGAGAAAAACAAAGGAGGAGGCAACAATGCTTGATAAGAAATGTACTCATTACCTTGCTCATGTAACTGTAACCCCTCTGTACAGTATTTTCACAATAAAAAAACTTAATTAAAAAACTAAAAACAAAAGATCTGGAATTGTAGCTCAAGTGATCAGGAATGAAAGGTGATGAAAGAAATTCAGTATGGCAGATCACAAACCTGTGATTGCTATGCAAGTGCTTTGCCACTTAAATAATACATCCAGTCTTTTATATTCTGATTGTATTTGAGATATGATCTTGTTTATTTGCCTGGCCAGTCTGGACCACGATCAATCTATTTATATTCCCCACTGTACCTGGGATATATAAGCAGGCATATATAACCATATCAGCTTTGTTGTTGTTGTTGAGATTGGGTCTCTCAACTTTTTCCCTCTGCCTGATCTCAAACCATGATCCACTCCATCTCAGCTCTTGAGTAGCTAGAATTACAGGTGTGAGCCACCAACATTTGCTATATTCTTCTTCTAATATGCATTATGTACTTAAAATGTGTTTGGAAATCAGAGACTATTTAGAAATCAAACTACATGGAATATTTTAAGGCTCAGTAATAGTATCTGTTTTCGGTTGCTGTTACCAGTATCAAGTCTTGGCTAGAGAAGCATTCTTCAAAATATGTAAGCTAATATGCTCAGCACAAACCAATATTAGCAATAAGGGAAGATGGGGAAAATCAAGCTAGCTAACTAAAACTGAGTTTTTGTTCCAGAAAGGCGTAAACCGTTTACTTGTCTGTAGGCACATGAGATTGGGCTGATTTTTGCCACACTTAGGGTGCAGGGACAAGGGTTTGAAGCCAACAAGCTTCTATTTTCAGTGATGCTACCATTGGTGGCTCACTCTTCTAATCTTAGCTCATTAGAGGATGAGATCATGAGATCTGAGGACCACAGTTCAAAGCCAGCCCAGGCAAGAAATTCTGTGAGATGCTTATCCCAAGTTAACCATAAAGAGCCAAAAGTGGAACTATGGCTTAAATGCTAGAGTGCTAGCCTCGAGAGACAAAAATATAAGGAACAGTGCTCAGGCCCTGAGTTCAAGCATATGCGTGCGCGCGCGCGCGC